TAATGTTATAAAAGTTGTATGAGATTATAAATTTTGGCATTACATAAAATAAACGCAAAATAAAGTTTGTAATTGATATCTGCCATTATTTAAAGTATAAAAAATTATAGTGAACCATTTTGGTCTAAAAACGGGTTTGTACGAATACCTTTTTTGCCCACTATATATATATATATATATATATATATATATATATATATATATATATTATATGTATCTATGATTTATGATTATTATTTATCAAAACCCTTTTTAATCTCACAGACTTTTATTATACATGTAAAATATTTTTACAAACATCTAAACATTATTATTTTTTAACGTTTCGGTTCCAATAACCATTTTCAAAAATTCTTTTTATTTGTTAAAAAATAAAACATTAGTCCTATAAAAATATTATTTCTTAAAAAATATATGTACATTACATACTACTCTATGGTAGTACTTCTTTTATTATGTATAAAAGTGTTTTGTTTTATTTTTATTCAGAAATTTCTCTTCTCGTTTTATCAAAAACTTCATCCTTAATTTCCTTCCATTTTTATCACCCTCATTTTATGTTTACTGAGCTGTAGTTTTAGACTGACAAATAATAAAATGTAATTCTCTATCTCTTCTTTTTAATATTCTATGACATCATATTTTAACAACTACGTCACCCCATTCATTCTATATCTAATACTTACATTTTATCTCATTTAAGATAGCTTTATTATTATTTTATTCATTTTACTTTTCACTCATTTAACTTAGTTTTTATCTCATAATATTCCATTACTTACTTACTGCATGGCGTTACGGTCCATTAAGTCCTCTCGCACAGGGACAAATACCCTTCTTAGAACTCTTCTCTCCCAGGTCCTTAGTCTTTTCTTGTTAGCTGCTGTCATAACCCAGGTTTCACTGCTGTAAGTTACTGTGGGCCTTATAAAGCAATACCTTAGCTTTTCTTGATAGATTTTTTTAAACTAGGGCAGAGAGCATTGCATATAGACACCTATTCCCTGCAGCAACTTGAGCCTTTTTATCCTCTGCCATTTTGTTATCTCTCTTGACGATTCCACCTAGGTACTTGAATCTCTTGCATGCTGTGAAGTGGTGTTCCTCTATCTTAACCTCTTCTTCCTTGAAAATACCATCTCTAGTGGACTTCAGGGTTTTGTTTTTCTTTATGTAAATATATTTATATTGTAAAACCAGGCCCAATTCATTAGCAGCTGTTTCAAACTCTTCTAGTGCTCCTGGTAGTGCTGGTAATAATCTTGCCAATATCATTACATTATCGGCATAGGCCGTATGTTGGGTTAATCTGTTATAAATATTTCCTCTTGGCTTTGCTTTAATTTTCCTAATAGCATATTCTAAGGCTAGGTTAAAAAGTAGGGGGGAAAGAGGATCTCCTTGATGTAGCCCACGTTCCACTTTCTACACATTAGATATTTGCAAATGGACTTTCACTCTGCATTTAATTTCATTCAGCATCATTTTAATAAGCCTTATAAGCTTTTTCGATATGTTCATTTTGTCCAAAGCCATTAGCATTCATTTCCAGTCAATGCTGTTGTATGCTTGCTTAAAGTCTATAAATAGGCGGTGAAGTGTCACATTGTATTCGTACGATTTTTTTAGGAGTTGCCTAAGCGAGGATAGGTGATTAGTTATGGATCTTCTTGGCCTAAAACCACTTTGGTATTCTCCAATCGTCTCTTTGGCCCATTTGCTCACTCTTCGGCATAAAGCAATTGACAGTACTTTGTATGCTGTATTCAGAAGAGATATAGCTCTATAATTGTCACTCTGAAGCTTGTTTCCCTTTTTATATATCAGGCATATTATAGCTTCTGACCACTCACTTGGCATCTTTTCATTTATCCATATGTTCCACAATATATGGTACAGCTCTTCCCAAAGATCTCCACCACCATACTTCAGGAGTTCGCTGAGAAAGCCATCAATGTCGCCTGCTTTATTATTTTTGAGACCCATTAAGATTTCTATGTTTCTTCACCTTCCAGGTGAAGTACACAATGAGTAGATCCATTTAGTTCCTTTTCATAGTATTGGGCCCATCTATCAAGAATTCCTGCAATATCTGCAATGACATTTCCCTTCTCATCTGAGATGTAGTTTGCATGGTCTCTGAAGCCAGTTCTAATGTTCTTCCTGCCTTTGTAGAACTTTCTGCTCTCTTTCTTCTGATATGCTTGGCAAAGCTCCTCCATCCTTTTGTTTTCTGCGGCTCTTCTTTTTTCCTATACAGGTTTTTAGCTACTTTCCTCAGGTTCACAAAATCCTCATAAGTATTACTGGTCCTCCACTGTAGCACTTTCATCTTGGCCTCCTTTCTATTTTCAATTGCCTTTTAGCACTCTTCATCGTACCAATCCTTTCTCTCGGGCTTTCCAGTTGCTACAAGAGTTTCAGAAGCTTTCTTCAATGTTGTTTTTGCTGAATCCCATCTCTTCTCTATGTTTGTTTTATCTTCTGAAGCCATTTCTTTTAATTGTGTTTGGAGCTTTTCCATTATTCCACTACTTATCCATAAATTAGTTTCTTTGTTAAACTAATTTTTTTTATTGCTTTTGTTACCTAATTTTATTATGTTTATTTCATTAGTCTCCATCTTAGTAGTTTAAGTAGTTTATTTAAGCAATTTTATTTCATTAGTCTTTAACTTTGTTGCCGTTATTATGTATTTCATAAGTTCCTCTCTGTTACTGTTAATATTTTTTTCATATGTTCCTTGAATTATTATTATTAGTGTTATTTTTATTTATTTATTTTTTCATAAGTTAATAGTTTCTCATATTGCTATCTGCTCTTTTCCTAGTCCTTGAACTTTAAGATGAAGGCTTGAACTTTGGGGTGAAATGTCAGCAAATATAAAAATAAATATCATTTTTCATTTTTTTTTTTTTTTTTTAATGAACACCCCAACCAACTTCTCTTCAATAATTCTTTACAATCAACCATAAATCCACTATATAAATTATAGTTTTAATGTTTATGTATTATTTAATATGATGGAGTCAATTTCATTGATGGTTCCTCAAGATTTATATGAATACTAATATCCACCACTAAAAAAATAATTTAAAAGTTTATAAAGCAATTACTTTATATTTATACTAATAAAATATATAATCCAAAAAAATTAAATATTGCAGAAAAAATCAATATCCTATTTTCTAAACTATGAAACAGCTAATGGGTCGTAATGCCAAATAGTAGGAGAAGTTTTATTAAAAAATACAAGAGAAAATGATACTGTTTCGAAGTAAGATGTGTTAAAGCTTTGGAAAAAGTAAAAATAAAACAAATTACAATGCAAGAAATAATACATTTCTATGCAGCATAAATATCTATTTACAATCTTTTATTCAAAATCTTTACAGTTTATTGTGCGAAAGATTTTCCTCCCAAATCTTTTAATATTTCTTTCTGAGGTACTGGTTAGTGCATAGGCGCCGACTACTAGGGGCTCATGGGGTTTGGGAGGGGGAGGTTAATGCCAGAGTTAAAAGACCCTCTTGGCACCGGGATGAGAATTCAGTATTATTTCATCTTATAAATTTTCTATCCGGGTTACGGAGAGTAGTACTCCAGGCAAGGCGTGGTGCTGTGCACACATCATCCCTCAGATTAATGCTCTCTTGAAAAAACCATCACCAAGAAGAAAAGACTTGATTCAAATAATTTTAGAATAATTCTCTGTTAGAGAGATTAAGAAAAAACATCATATTGTCCTTTATCAAGAGGTCTTCAAAAAAATTTGTGGGTAATTTTCTTTTTCCACATCTATCTAGAGCATCCCTTAAAAAGAGATTTCTAAAGCATTGTTTTTGTATACTACAGCATCGGTACATTTAAAATTGTCCTCTAAATAGAGATGTCCTATAAACAGAGAGGTTTTATTGTGATCTACAAATTTTCAGTTAGTATAAAATAGTATACGTAACATTCATGAATGTTCATATTTGTTGCATGTTCATAAGTTCTGCATAAACTGATGTTGGTTACAGCTTTTCAATATCACAAACATGTTAATGATTTAACATTACAGAATTTAGTAAATAATATTTTTTACAAAGATTTGTAGCATAAATTATCATATGAACAATCAGTAGCAGATTTCATATTGAAATTTCATTTTTTCAGGAGGTTAAGTATAGTTTTTTTATTTAAAATAATACTAATCATAGAAATATTAATGCTTTTAGGGATATTAGGATAAACTTTTTATATTTTTCATTGAATAGCTTCAGCTTGAAAACTCCAAACCCTTAAAGCCGCTAATGTGAACAACAATAGTTACAAGGCACGACTCACCATCTCTCAAAAGGGACAAGGGTAATTTAACTAGCAGCTCATAGTTACCTTATGGTACTTCAGAGTATTCAATATACAAAGAGATTTAAAGTTGTTATCTATCTATATTGAATTACTAACAACTTTTGTAGTTCAACTTTCCAAGCTAAAACGCAAGTTTTTTATAGTGTTGAAAACTCGGTTATTATTACAATTATCCTTAGAATAAATTCTTAAGTTTTTTTAAAAGTTTACCTATGTTACATGATTAATAGTTAGCACAACATAAAAAAAAATATAAAGCATACAAATAAATAATTCAATAATTAATTATTCGTTAAATAATATTAATTCAATAATATGATCATTTAAATAACAAAATTTTTGACAATATTTAATAATATAAATTAATAGTGTATAAAAAAACAAAACAATAATTATCCATATGTATTACTTGAAATTATCAAATCAACATGGAACAACTTTCCAAAAATCATAACATAGCAAATGCAAACAAAAATTAATGTACATTTTTTAAAAATCATTTAAGTTAAGCACAATGAAATAAATCATAAAATTAAATTAGAAAATTTATCACTCCGCAAGTTCATATGTAGTATAAAATAAAAGGTGACAAAAAAAGGAAAAGAAGGCCACCAACATTTGATTATATGGGAATATTTGATCTCAATTTAACCTCTCTCTTTCAATCTTCCAGTTCTTTTCAAAATCCTCCTCTTGTTGTAAAATATTTTGCCTTCTTCAATAGTTTTACTGATGATATCAATAGCTGTGCTTTTTGATATAGCTGCTTCATCACGTTTGTTTTTTGCATTTACATGAGTATTTCTTTTAAACCTATTTAGATTCTCAAGTTTAAATCCTGGATCTTTTAGCAAATTTAATTTGATGCACTTATATCTATGTCTGATTTGGATCCTATTTCTGGAAGGAAAGTTCTCAGCTATCTTTGACCATTTTCTTTCACCATGAACAGCAATTAAATCCATAAGAAGTTTGTCTTCTGCTAAAGACCATTCACCACATTTATTAACTTTCATGTCTCGTTTTGCAAAATATCTTTCTCTTAATTGGATTGCTGATCTGTTGGGAAACACAGAAGCAACTTTTTGAAAATCAAGACCAAACTGTTCAACAGCATTTACTAAAATAATATCTTCTTCATCAGTGAATTTACCTTTCTTTAAACCTGGATCTAAGCGGTACCATCTGTTTAAAGCTTGGGCCATTGTCCTGTCTTCCAAATGACATAAAACCTTTGCCCATCCAATTACACCTCCCTGTTCACTTATGCTAACCAGATAAGACAACTGGACATCTTCCTTTTTACTCCAGCGGCCTCTATTGAAATCTACCATTCCAAACTGTTTTTTGAACTGAATAAAGCATTGATATCCGGTTCGTTTTGTGTTAAGTAATTCTGCTATTTTATCCCAATTTTGATAATTGGACTGTATTGCCAATTTTTTCAGTTCTTTTTTTTCTTGCTGTGTCCAAGTTCCTCTATTAACTTTAGGAGATAAAATTAAATTCCAATATCTCAAACATTCACCAGGAGTAAGAATGTCAAGAGATTCCTTTGATGATATCTTCATCCAGTCAATATCTGAATCAGATATATCTTTTACTAAAAATTTCAAATCAACAGATTTCATATAAGCAATTTTACTTTTAATAAAATTAATCTCCTTTGAGATTACTTCTTGTTGTGCTAAATTATCAACTTCTGAACAATTTTTTTTTAAATTAACAAGATTAGATTTTTTCACATAATCGTCTATAATATATTCTCTTATAGCATTAGATAATGCAGTAATATCGGCAGTATGATCTGTTTGCATGTACAGATAACCGATAAACTGGTTTTTAGATAGCTTATCCTTAAAATCTTGATTTCTTGGACAGTAAAATCCTGAAGAATCTTTGAAATAAGGGGCACCAAATTGGCTATAAAAGCCTCTACTGACAATAGTGTCTCCATCGTCAACAGAATTCGAACAATCTACTTTTAAGTGCTGAAATTCTTTGGTTAATTTATCTAATTTTTTAACGAGAGCTGTCTCAAGGGTCACACAAAAATCAGCTAATTTACGATTAGTTCTAATTGCATTTAAAATTAAATTTCCTTGCTCTTCTAAACTGATTTCATTGCTGAAACCTTCAACTAATGTATTAATGTAAGTATCATTGTTAGAAGACATGCAGGTGTTTCTTTTAATTTGCTCCTTAATTAATTCTTGTTCTAATATAAACTCAAACTCATCCTCACTTGATTCCTCATCTACAATTTCAACATCATCCCCATCAAATCTTAATATTGGTGAACATAAATCAACATTGTTATTATAATTTATACTTTCATTTTTTTTTAAATTGCCAGTTTCATAATTTAAATATTGAATTGGGCCTAATAAGCTGCAATTATGTTTGCTGCTTTCTTGTAAAGGCATATAATTATCCCTAGAAATGTTTTCAGTTTTTTCAAACATTTCATTGTCCTTATAAAAAATCGGAATATTTTCTTTATTTGAAAAATGAGAAATATCAAAAATACTTACTTCTTCGACCTTTGAGCTTGGCATATCTTCTTTACTCTCAATTTTACATAAGGAGGCGGGCTTAGTACTATTTTTTTTTCTTAATTTGTTTGGAATGTTTTTTTTCACTACCGTAGGAGGAAGCGGATTAGCATGGGAACTATTTCCTTTCAAACGTTTTTGGGTTATTTTCATTGTCACCCTATTCTTATTTTTTTTCTGTAAATTAAAAAAAATATATAGGTTTATTTTTTAGTACTGAGTTACGTTGTGGTTTTTCATTTTAGGAAAAAATCATTTGTATAGTTGAATCATTATTTTAGCTTGAATGATTATTTAATGAGTTGAAAATATTTTCCTATATATTGCATGCGTACATTATCGTAATGTTTTTGTATATCATATGATAGGTGGCTTTGTGAAATAATGTATTTTTTACACTATCTTACATGATTTAATAATTATATATTTATAAATTTGAACTTTTTTCAATTAATAATGTGACAGTAGATTCTGCAATTTATTCTATCATTCAAAGTAGCCATATCTAAAAATCTAAAAGGCTTTGGTTAGAGATTTTGAATGTAATCAGATGATTGCGGTTATCCGGCATATTTTGAACTTTCTAACGGTCTTAGTAAAGTGTCAAATGGGTCCTAGAAAGTTATTAAGGAAATCTTTACCGAGTCGTTTTGACAAGGAAAATCTGTTTAAGCGTGGTTTAAATGATTATCAAGCCCGAGTGAGACGTCGTGAGTCTTTAAGGCAAATAAGAACAATAAAGGTAAGAGAGTACGTTGTAGTTATCACAGTTTTTTGAATTTTTGACATATTTCCAATGAAGCGTTTGTTCCATTTGATTTTTGTCTTCAGTTTTGAAAAAGTGTATTAAATGTGTCCTTTGGGTGCCGAAAACTATTATTTTTAATTCAGAATTATATATTTAACAAGTCCTGGCTTGACATTTCATAGTTAGTTATGTCTTCAATGATTTTCATGTTATTACTAATTCCATTTCTATGAAAGTCTATCATAATCATTTTCTATATCCCGTTGTAATGTGAAATCAAGAATTCTGTTGCCATTTTTATGTTGAGTTTTTGTATAACACAAATTAGATGGGTTATTATTGCTGTTTGACTGTAGAATTATTTTTGTATCTTTCCTTTTTTATAACTCTCATTTTTGTAACCAGAATACAATGTAGATATATAAGATGATGGTTCTTTCATTTTTGAAGGTAAATTCTGTAGCTCTCCTCTTATTTTAAATGGCTTTTATCTGATGTACAGATTTATACATGTATCTAGCTCTTGATCATAATTATTTTGATGGCAATATTATCACTGCTATATAGTTTTAAATATATTATGTGATCTTTAAATTTCCTAAACTAGATAATTGTTTCTTATATGATACTATGACACCATTGACTTTTTTGGCTATTTATTGACTAATTTTTATATTAGTAAGATTTGATGGTATATTTCCTTATTTTATTGCAAAAAATCACTAAGTAACATTCCATAAAATTAAATACTGTACTTTTGTGAATTTTCTCTCTGTTAAATCAGAACATAGTTTACTAAGTGTAACCAAGTATGATAAATTAAAGGGTTTGTGTAAATTTAATGAACTTAGTGTTTTTTATCAATAAGTAAAATTTCACAACACACTTGAAAGTTATCCTACATCTAAAATGCACGTAATGACTTTTTGAATTATTGAAGGAAGTTAGTCAACTGTTCTACATATCATAGGTGATATATAATCAGGACACAGTCATTTTTAAGGTTTTCATTAGTGCCGACATTTCAATCCAAGCATGCGGGTCATCATCAGGGCTGAAAATTGTTTAATGCAATCAGAGATATAATATTACAAGACATATAATGATTAATAATGAAAAAATAGTGATAGATGATGCATGAAATAGACAAATTAAATATTTGAAAAGTTATACAAATTAAAGAACAATGTATATAATCAATTTATAAGAAATGCAATATTTACTCTTATTAACCATGTTTCGAGCTCTGAAGGTGTGCAAGTGTACTGACGTTTGGGTAGGTGAATAACAGGGCTTGCTATCGTAAAAACATATCTGGAAAATAAGAAGGTTTTTTTGGCCATTTATTGACTAATTTTTATATTAGTAAGATTTGATGGTATATTTCCTTATTTTATCGCAAAAAATCACTAAGTAACATTCCATAAAATTAAATACTGTACTTTTGTGAATTTTTTCCCTCTGTTAAATCAGAACATAGTTTACTAAGTGTAACCAAGTATGATAAATTAAAGGGTTTGTGTAAATTTAATGAACTTATTTTCCAGGTGATCAACAGAGGATTTTCCAGATGTGTTTTTATATTTCATGTATCATCCATCACTATTTTTTCATTATTAATCATTATCTGTCTTGTAATATTATATCTCTGATTGCATTAAACAATTTTCAGTCCTGATGATGAACCACATGCTTGTATTGAAATGTCGGCTCTAATAAAAATCTTAAAAATGATTGCATACAGACTATTTATCATCTACAATTATTGACTTTTTGCAATTAACCAACGATATGTTTTACTCTTCAAAATTATATGAAGTAAATATCCTTCTCTTTTATTTAGTCAAGATGTATAATTAAGTCTATCAAAGTAGATTTGAAGTTTTAATTATTTTAAATAATAACAACATTTTTTAATAATCTTTTTATATATTCCCTGTTTTTTGTGCATTGCAGTAAGTTACATTAACCTAATATTAAGAATATTTGTTAAATTATCTTTGCTTAGAGGTACTAACGATGATGTGAAAATAAATTTGAGCTTCAAAACAGTTTTTTCTAAATAAGCCTTAAGTTTTGTGTAGTTGATTTCTGTATAAGCTTTTCATATGAATTATACTACTTTATTTCTTAATTAATTAATTTGTTATTATTGTTTAGGCAATATATATCTAAATGTTTAATGCCTCCTTAATTGTCAGATATAACGTCTTTCTATGCACCCATTTTTACATGGAAAATCAAATATAATAAAATTCAATGAAGGTACAATATATGTAATAATAATACATCCATTATCAGAAAGTTGAGAAAAAGGAAAAATACTTGAAAATCATAGACAGCTGATATCAAAAAATAAAATTTTATCACAAAAAAACCATCTTCATTCATTGACTAATAAAAGTTGAAAAATCATTAGGCAATATCAGCTTTTTTTTCTAAGAATGTATTGATGATGAAGCTGTTATGCAATTTTGTATGTGCCTTCACAAAAATACTTTTATAATTGGTAAATGGTTGACTGTCGTGGATAATGAAGAGAAGAATAGTTGGGGTGGTCAGTCCAAAAAGAAGGCAAAAATAAATGATAATATTTATTTTTACATATGCCGATGTTTCGACCTGAAGTTCAGGTCTTCATCAGGGCTAAGAAAATAACAAGGTATGAGAAACATAAGTAGTGATGGTAAAAAAAAAAAATATAAAGAAAAAAAATTGGCAAATTCGCTGTTACAATTTAGAATCATAGTAGGTCACAAAAAGTCTTCATAATAATATTTAAAGAGGTTCATATTTAAAAATTATACATATGACAGGTCAAATGTATTTTGGTGTGTTCAGTAATTTTTTGTGATAAAGAATAACTTTATTTTAGTTTTTCAATATTTTTTTTTTAAAATATGTTATTAAAACCATTTATTAGGTAACTTTCTGAGTCAAGGGCAATATTTTGTTATTTTAATAATAATTTTATCCCAAAAGTGTTTAAAAGTCAGTATTATGAAGAATTTTTCAGTTATTTTCAGGGTCAAATGAAACAGCTTTTATATATTTATTTGTATCCCACAGAGAGACTGTTTAAGTTTTCCTACATTTCATACAAACGTATGCATGTATGATAAAGGCTTATAATTTTCTTTTGAAGGCTTCAAGTATTTAAAATGTTTAATATTGTACCAATGTAAAATGATTACTAATGGTATATGACAATTTAGTCAAAAAACAAACATTTGTTTTTTTTTTGCCTAGGTTCCTTAACAAAAGAGAATAAATAATGTCTATTGACAGTACATTATAAAGTAACTTATAAAATAACTGTCCACTGTTACTATATAGATGTTTTATTACTGTACCAATTGTTTACTATTAGATTAGCAACTATTTTTATTAGCTAGAATTTTTGCAAAAACAAACTGGAAAAGTAAGAGTATTACAAAAAAAGGTTTTGGTAGAAACTTTGTTAAACAACAATCATTATATGTCAAATAACAACGAACAATTTGAATTTTAATCAGTTTATATAACAAATTTTAGTCTTATTACATGCAGTTGATGTTTATTGTATATATTTTTTTTATTGAATTAAATATAAAAATATTTGGAGATTCTTAAACACTATTTTAGTTATGACTGGATAAATTAAGATTGGCTTCATTGAACCTATTTATTTTAGCTTATAAGCTAAAAACTTTTTCTTACGCTATAATAGAAATTAATTTGCTATGGATTTCTTAATTCTTTAAAATGATTTCTTCTTTATTTTATTTTTTTGTGACTTCTATAATAGCATTTAATTTGTAGTGAAAACAGCTTCTACCTATATTATACGCCTGTATACTTTTCTTCTATAAATTATGATGGACCAATGTGGCCCAGTCTTTTCTTTTACAGTTTGTATGAAATGAAATGAGAATAGATTTTTATTACCCTGGGACTGTTGTCCTTTTAGGAAAAATTATAGATACAGAGAAAATGTCTGTGTGGCCATAAAATTAAATTAAATATTTTCAATTCTCATTAAAATTAAAATATTGGAAGAAAATTAAAACAAAAACACTAAATATATACAGATATTTATAATACAAACATGAAAATAAAATAATATAAGTAAACAAAATCATTTCTGGGAAAACTTAAAAAGCTCTCTTATCTACTTTTCTTGGTATAGAAAGGTAGCAAGGAAATACAGATGGATAGAGACACTTCAACTTGGTATAATATTGATATGATGCGGATTCAAAAATTTATTTGCTGTTAAAAGTTTTTCACAATATCTGGACTTTTATAGGAAATCAAATTTTCTCTATGTGGCTGAAAACGTACTCTCATATTTTTTTGAACCACCTTTAAATGATACGTTCAGTTACACTTTCACTTTCTTGATGTTTCTGACTATTTTCTGTTTCTCTTAAGTTCACGAAGTATCTCTGGATCTAGTATTGAAACCTTAAGAAAGTTATGTTGTTTTTTTTATTAATTGTTTTTGAGTTAATTTTTGCCAAGTCTCCTCCTCTTTCCCTTCTAATCATTGATAGATCAGATGTTCTTTGAGTCCTTTCTTTGCTGATTGAATAAAATATTGATTGTTTACTAAAGTAATCCAACCTATAAATACCGTAGCTTATCCACATATCCATTCCTATTCATTTGTGGTATCAGATGAATTAATAATTAAAAACAGATTTAATCCATTTCAACAGTTCAGAATGTTGAATATCATTTTAAAGAAAGCATGCTGTAACTAATTTAAGTTTTTGTCTGAACAACTCTTTATTTGAAATCTCAATAAATTTTCTTCATTTTTGTTAAACAAAAGCAGATTCATGCAGTAAAGACTTTAAAATGGAAGAAATTATTGTTTCTGTTTATTAATTATTTATTTTTAAAAAATTGTCATGATATTATCGATGAATTTGTCTTCACATTTATTGAATCTTATACATTTTGAATTAAATGTAAATTTATAAAAATTTAGAAGTTTGCTACTAAAAGTAAACATTAGTAGTGGATATCACCAGTATACCGAATCAGATATTTTAGAGATTCGGTAAGCATCTCAAATCTGTAACTAATGCTAATTAGAAAAAAAAATGTTCACTAATTATTTATGATTGTTTATTATTAAACGTAATTTGAAATACTTAAATGAAGTTTGTACAGTTGGGTTATGATAATTCTAAAGAGAGATATAATTATTGTTATATTTAATGTTATAATATCCAGATGAATAAAAATTAAAAAATGATCAGATATAGTGAGAGTGTACTTTTCAAACTTATTCAAAACATCATCTTTTATTATAATAGACATATAAACTAAACTTAACTCACTTTACTCATTGATTTAACTTTCTTTTTCAATTAAATTTTTAAACAACTTTTGCTGGCCTGTCTTTATTAATAATTAATTTGTCTTCTATTTGCTTTTCTGCCCTGATATTGCCTGAATTGGTGAAAGGTTGACGGCATAGATGGGCATAATCATAATCAACGATTATGATTACGTGATTACAATTAATGCGATCTTGATTACGTTAGTACAGTGATCAGGTTTCTGATTATGATAGCAATCACGTAATCGGATCGCATTTTGCTATATTTATAGTGCTATCGAATCAAGTAAAATTGGCGTGGTCATTAAGTTTTCTTTTTAATTACAATCATGTAATAATTGATTCTGATTTTGCCCATCTCTGGTTGACAGTTTTTTTTATTCTTTACCTAAATTTTAGAAATATAAGGCTATATGTTAGGTATTTTTCCTATGATTACCAACATCTAATTTTATGAATATAGGCCAATTTATAGTAATGTAAATGTCTATAAACAGGTCCTGATTTACAAAAAAGCAGACGGCATTTCCCCAGAGCGCTAGTTTTTGAAGGCTCGCAAAACTTGAGACTTTTAAGTAATAGAAACAAGTTTTATTGAAGTAAATTAATGTTTTTTTCAAATATTTTGCAAAATACAGCACTGTAGAAAAATGTGTAGCATTTTAGCACTTGCCTCAAGCACAGAAAAAAACCTGTTGCAGTTTTATCAATTTTTTTTTTCTCTCCAAGGAGATGAGAATTATAGTAATAATGGTGAAGGGCACACCTCACATCTGTGTTCTCAAACATCAATCAGTTTATTAGAAATATCAGAAGAAACTTGTTATTTAAAACTCTAGTCGAGTAAGAAAGTAAAAAAATAACATTTAAAAAATTAAAAATTTTGGACATTGGCCTATTTTATTCTCGAAAACATCATTATTAATGCTAGTTGTCAACAAATTTCATTTATTGATACGTCCACTATGCTGCGATGAGACAAATGACATGTTAAACTGCGAAATAAAACAT